CGGATCTGCGACTCGCCGTCCGGCCTGTCCAGCCCGTTCCGCTCGGAGTTTCTCTCCCCGGCCAGTCTGTCGACCCCCTGCTCCAGCATGTCGCTCGGCTCCTCCATGCTCTTCCTCGCAAGGTAGGGCACAACCTTCTCTCCCCCCTCCTCATTCATTCACCCTGATCTACGGAGGGGTTTTGACATGTGCTTTCCGTCTCCCTTAGGTCACGATGCCTCGGTCCAAGCACTCCGCACGCAAGCAAGTCGCCGGAGGGCCGGCTCGTCCGTCTCGTCGCGGAGGCTCCGACGACTCCCAGGAGGAAGATCGCCCTCGGAAACGTGCCGCTCGTCCTCCCAGCTCATCCAGTGATTCCTCTTCGGAGGGGTCAGATTTTGAGGATGAGCTTGAAGAGGTGGATCCGTCCCCGATGATTGGCGTCCGCGTCGCTGCCCCCAAGCCCGGCACTCATCGTCCAACCTTTCAACCTCCTCCTCCTCCGGTGCAACCCCACGGTGATGCCCGTCACATCTCCATTGAGCCTCCACTATCACTAGGCCATCATGTCAACGTTTCAACGAGGTCCCCAAATCTTCATATCTTAAATTGCGTCGTGATGTAGATCAATTTACTGTTGTTAGGGACTCTCAGGATAGTCGCTTTCGCACAAATGTCCAAGCCGACATCTTCACCATGATTGTCATCCCTAAAGGCTTGTCACTTCATGTTTGCATTGATCTTGAGCACATTCGCACTCATCCGGAGAAATATCCGGGAGCCATTGAGCTCATTGAGTCGTCAAACCTAGCTGCCCCATTTGCCTTTCAACACGATTTTAACCATGCTGCCATCCATCAGTTTTATGCCACATGTTACTTTGCTCCTGATAACACTGTCACATGGATGACCTCCGACACTGCACTCACAACATCTTATGCTGAGTTTGTCACCGCACTTGGATTTCCTGACATTGGGTTCAAAATCCACAAGGATGACCCCAACCATAAGCCCAAAGGCATTGCGGTCTGTGCGGATCTCCTTAGACCCATATCATCTTTGTCTAGCACTGAAAAACAAAAGGGTCTAAATCAAGTCTCCATTTGGCGTTTTCCATTCAATATCATTTATCAGTGTGTCATCCGCACCATTTATCCCAAGATGGGTGACAAGGGCTCCTGCAGCAGCTACTGCATTGATCTCATGCATCGCCTCTTCACATCTCCTAAAGGGAAGATAAATGTTCCACACTTTCTATGGCATGAGATCCGCCTTGCTAGCTTCCAGCACAAGCGGGCTTTCCCTCATGCACCTTTTATTCAGGCATTTATCGAGAGTGTAGCTCCCTTTCCCATTGCACGCACTCATATACATGAGAGATGGGTCATCCCACCTCACATGGCGGCTGACCATGTTCCTCCTCCTGCTGCTACTGCTAGTCGCACCGCCGCTAGTTTTCCTTCTCACGCTACCCATCCTCCTTCCAGTGATGCCCCCTTTGGGCGCATTGCTCGTTTTCTTGGGAAGGCTCATTCAGCCATGATGAAGATGTTCACCTACCATTGCTCCCAACACCACGATGTGGTCACTCGCATGGTCACTTCCAAGAACGCTCTGAAGGCTCGTTTGAGAGACTCAGGCGTATATGATGTGAGTGACGATGAGCGTCTTCCTGCAGATCCCCCTTCTGATTTTGTTTTTCCCTCCGGTCCTGAGTGGGCTGATTTCTTCGACGAGGCTGGTGGCAGTGGTGTTCATGATGATGATGATGAGGATGATCTTTAATACTGTCATGTCATGCCCCCTTGTTCTTTTCTTTGGATACTTGATGCCAAAGGGGGAGTAGGCTCCATATGCATTACTCTAGCTCATTATGTAATCGAACCTATGTTATGAGTAGTTTGTTGAACTATGTTATGAGTTGTGGAACTATGTTATGAGTTTGTTGGTTATGAGTTTGTTGAATCTGAGATTTGGTGAATCTATATGAAGTGTAACTCTTGATTATCGCGGCATCAGTTTGAGGGGGAGCCCTCATCATTTTTGTTTTTAGTAGTATCTGTGGTATCACTTTGAGGGGGAGCTCACTCGCTACTTATTATTATTATGGTTATTGAGATCCACAACAAATACTTCCGATTACTATTATGAGTATGCATATGAGTTGTCATCAAGTACCAAAAAGGGGGAGATTGAAAGTGCAATCATGCCCTTAATCATATTTTGATGTTGATGACAACACATATGCTCGGGACTAATCATGTTTATCAAGTATATCTCAGGATTATGTTCCAAAGACCGTGTGCATGGATCATGACTAGGGACAAAAGCATATAACTCAAGAATGGAGATACAAGATGTTGATTTCATTTATGGTTTGTTCTTGAGTATAGGGATCCCGCACTATTAAGAGGGGATCGATGGATCTGTGAAAAACTTGCTCAAAAGTTGCTATCTATATACCTTGCCTTCGGACGTCCGGTGTTCTATGGACGTCCGGTCCTTCCTGATTGCCCGGACGTCCGGACACTTCCGGACATCCGACACTCCCACAACAGAAACATTTTTATGGATGTCCGGAACCCTCCGGACGTCCGACACTTTCACATCAGAAGCATTCTTACGGATGTCCGGCCCCGCTCGGACGTCCGTATCCTGTACACTAGATTGTGGGTCACACTTTTCACAGCGGCCGGTCGTCCGATGACTGTCGGACGTCCGGACCCATTTGGGTCTCCGGACGTCCGACGTTCTCCGGACGTCCGGCCATCCTGTACCCCAAACGGCCACTTTTTCCCACCACCTATATACTCCCTTCCCTTCCACGGGATAGGGTTGACCATTCACTTTGAGCCTCACAAGAACACTCCTCACTCTCTCTCTCATTCATTCATACTAAATCCTAGATTCCAAGTGTTCTAGGAGCATTTTGAGGGAAGTTCTCCAATCAAGTGATAGATCCACTTCTTCCCCTTCTTTGCACCAAAGGAATTCGTGACTTGAGCAAGTTTTGAGCATTTCCCCATCGTTCTTGTTACTCTTGGAGGTTGGAGACTCCTAGGCGGTAGGAGTCATCCGGAGTGGAATCGAACTTTGTGATTACCCTCGGAAAAGTTTGTGAGGGTTTGGAGACAACCCCAAGGTCTACCACTAGTGGTTGAGAAACGCCTCCGTGGTGTTGTCTCAAAGGGAGAATAGGGTGAGCCTTCGTGGCGTTGGTGTGCCTTCGTGGTAACATCCATCCCTCTAACGTTGACTAGCTCCCCTCCAAGGGAGTGAACATCGGCTTACATCCTCGTCTCCCGGAGTTGCGGTTATTCCTAACCTTAACTCTCTACTTGTGGTTACTTGTCTCTTTACACTTGCATAAGTTATATTGTGCTTGCCTACTTACGTGTTTTGTGTTATTTGCTTAGTACTTTGTGCTCACGCGCAATTGTTAGGCTGATCTTCATATTCCGCATTATTGCCTAAAAATTGCCAAGTAATAATTAAAATTTGTAATTGTACCTATTCACCCTCCCTCTAGGTCCATCTCGATCCTTTCAACAGCTCCGCATAGCTAGGACTACTATCAAACACCATGTCAAGCTCATCCGGGTCCGATTCAATATTGCCTTTCAAGAAGGCGTCTTTGTCCCCATGATGAACAAACACACATGTTCTTCCCATCCCTATAAACATTCAAACAACACAACGTAACATTGCTTCCATGAGTACTAATCCAAGGATTAACAAGGAATACAAACCCTAAAATATATACCAAACAACAACCCTAGTCCTAACCCTAACCATAACCCTAGCCTTAAACCTAACCCTAGCATCAACATAAGAACACCCATAAGAATAACCCTAACATACTAACAAAGCCTAATCATAGGAAATTGGCAAACAAACATCTCACATCTCCATGCAAATCTCTAGATCCAAACAAAACTAGGGTTTCCCCAAACTAGCAACAAATGAGCAAAATGATAACGTTACTTGGATCAAAACAAGGGGATCGGAGAAGATTACCTTGAGGGAGGGTTTGACTTCGAAATCCACGGACAAATTCGTCAAATTTGCAAGATTTGGAAAAGGATTTGAGAGGGGGGAGTGGGAGAGGGGGCAAAGCTCGGGTGTGTGGGGCGGGGGGAGTGGGGGAGGGGGGGGGGCAGCCGAGTGGCTGGATAAGTCACAGTGCCCCGCCCGAGCGCCAGGCGCTGCATTTTAAGTGTGTGGCGCCTAGCTCTGAGGCGTTGCACTGCTGGGTGCAGGTCCAGAGGATCCCACGATGGACATGTGTGCAACGCCCCAGAGCTAGGTGTTGCACCGTAGGATGTGGCGCCTGCGTGGCGGGCGCTACACAAAAAAGTCAGGGACATGAAATAGTTTCACGAGCAGTTCACTCTGTGAATTAATTTCGTCCTAAGGTCAAAATTGTTAAATTTGCCTGTGGAGAACGAGAGGAATCAGAAACTAAACGGACACGACTGGAGCAGATTTGTCTTTGGACTTGGATGACTGTTCGTTTGCATGTATGAGCGCCCGCAGAAAATCTATCTGCAGTTTTCAAGATCACGCGTGTGAGCGGCGGCGAAGGCGCGTCCTCAACTTGGCAGTGTGTGTCTGTCGGCTCTTTAGGGAATTTATTTCTTTGTTGATATTCATTGTATCACTAGCTATCATTAATAAATCTGAATCCGTTTCCTAAAAATTATATACGAGTGTCTACGTTTGTACTCGATTAAAAAAAGATTGCCTAAATGCCTATAACAAACCTTAATAATTAATTCTCAATAAAAACCTTAATAATTAATAAAGAAATACGGAATCAATAAGTGCCGAACGTGCCGGTTTCTGTCTTTTGGTACCGAACGCCCTCATTGCCGTTGTTTTTGCACGCACGACTCAGTGCAGGGTACTGTCCACGTCAGCATGTGGAAGAGTTCGGGATATTACGATTTGGTCACGAACGACAGCCTTATCCTCCTTCCCTTTCGATCTCCCCTGACCCACACACCACTCTTCTGCCATCCTCATTCCCTCTGCATCTCTCTCTCGTCGGCAACTCCCCCGGCGAACTGCGGCGGCAGCGCGAGGAACCCGAGAAGATCTCCGGCGAGGGGTGCGTGCGTGGCATGGTGGGCTCCGGGGGACGCGCGATGCATGGGGGTCGATGTGCGGCGGCCGGGGAAGAGGGCAGCGGCTGCCGATTGGCGCAACACCGCGGTGCGATAGCACCGCACCACCCTCCTGGCGTGGTGCGCCGCTCTCACCCCAACCCCCACCCACCTGAGATGCAGCCCGCTCAACCCCAGCGGCGCGGCCGCACCCCACCCGTGTGATGACGACAACCTCGGCGGCGAGAGAGGAGGAGTGGCCTTTGCCGGCAGCCATGAGCAGCGATGACAACCACCTCTAGGCTTCTGCTGCTCTCCCCCCGGCGCGGGGCTGGGTCGACGACGCCCGCGGCGACAACGACCATGTCCACGCATCTGCCGCTCCCCTGACGTGGTGCTGCGCTCCGACGACAGGTCGCGGGGACGATGACCATCCCAGCCTTCTGCGCTCCCCGACGTGGTCACGAACGCGAGCTGCCTCACTCCCGACGGGGAGCTTGGAGATCAGCACCGGTGTGCTAGTCAGAGCTCTGCTCGGTAATTCCCATTCTTCCATTTCTACGTTTCGTTTTGCTCTAGCGATGCATACATCAGAAGTGAATCGGCTGGGCAGAGGTGAACTAGGTCATTTTCTTTCGAATATGTCAACTGAACCAGTAGAACAACCTTTTTCTGTGTATTTCATTACCACTTTATTGTCTGAAAATCATTTGTTTTGTGTGATCTGAACAAAACAGAGATGCATACTAGTCTTCCAAGACGGAATGGCAATTTTTGTCCCTAGATTTGTTGTAGTGGTGATAGGCTATGAGATTTGCAGCTGAGATTTGAGAAGAAAATAAATGATCAGAGTATGTGCGCTGAATTTCTGTAGTGGGGAAAGGGACATTTAGAGTTTGTGGTCATCTTCGTTGAATGGCACCAGAGATAATTAAACGGAAAAGGGATATGGAGTAATCAAAGCTTGCTTTTCATTTAGAGAGAAGGATTCAGGACTAAACATGTATTGTACTATACATTTTTTCTTAAATTTGTCGTCTCACTATATAATTTTTCTTGAATTTTCCTGGAAGATGGCAAATATAGTTATCGAATCATGGCAAATTTAGTTATCGGATCATGGAAAATTCATTGTTTTCTTGCCATGGTAACTTTGATTTTGGATCATGGCGTAATTTTACTCTTTTCTACCATGGCATTTTTCGGTAGACCATGGCAACTAATCTTATACTTTTTGACCATGTAAACGTCAAAAAATTAGTTAATTAATCATGGCAAATTTAGTTTACACATCATAGCAAATTTGCTTCCTAGAAGATGGAAAATATAATTATCAAATCAAGGCAATTTTAGTCCTTGGATCATGGCAAATTCATTGCTTTATTGTCACGGCAACTTTTGATTTTTAAAATTGTCGTTGTAATTCTTTATATGGTCAAAACAACAAAATGGCAAATATTGCCGTGGCAAGTTTTAGTAATTATTTTACCTTTATTAACATGGCGAATTTAACTAAATCCCTAGGGCATTTTTTTAAATTTATTGCCATGGCAAGTTTTACTATTTATTTTCCACGACAAATTTACCTTTTATTAACATGGCAAATTCACCTAAATCGCCATGGCCATTTTTATATTTTATTTCCATGACAAGTTAATTATTTCACCTTTATTAACATGGATTTACCTAAATCCCCATGACAATTTTTTAACATTTATTGCCATGGCAAGTTTTACTATTTATTTGCAATGGCAAATTTACCTTTTATTAACATGGCAAATTTACCTAAATCCACATGGCCATTTTTTAATATTTATTGCCATGCCAAGTTTTACTACTTATTTGCCATGCAAAATTTACCTTTTATTAACATGGCAAATTTACAATCCCCATGGCCAGTTTTTAATTTTACTGTCATGACAAGTTTTACTATTTATTTGACTTTTATTAAATTGGCAAATTTATTTAAATCCCCATGGCAATATTTGAACTTTTATTGCCATGGCTAAAATACCTTCATTAACATTGCAAATTTACCTAAATCCCCATGGCAATATATAACTTTATTGCCATGACAAGTTTTTTTACCGATGGCAATTTAACCCTTGTTAACATGGCAAATTTACCTAAATTCCCATGGCAATTTTTAACTTTTAATTGCCATGGCAAGACTTACTACTTATTCGATCTTTATTATGTTGCCATGGCAAACTACTTGCGTTATACCAAAGTTTGGCTTGGATTTTGTAACAATAAGCAAAAAAACATGTATTTTTTGGATTGGATTTTTAACCATAGCAAACTGATTGCTTTTGGTCATGGAAAATTTGTTTTATATAAACATGGACATTTTTTGTTGAAACATTTTTGTTGCCAAAGTTTCTTCTACGTGTTCTTAAATTCTAGCATTTTTTTTCCATTTTCATAATTAGTATGGATCCATTTTCCAACTTGATGACAGTTTTAATATACATATTGTGGCAAAAAAAATATTTTCCTATTCATAATCAGGTTCAGATCCCAGTTTTTTTAAGGCTGAGTTCAAATCCCAGCTTGAAGACTTGATAGTAGTAGAAAATTGGGCTTATTTTATGATCATGTTATGTTTTCTTACCGCTGAACTGTCGTGGGGTGATGGGAGGCCCATTACTAGGCCTGGTCGTGCCTGATATGGTGGGCTGCTGCGTTCGTCCTGGGGGTGAATCTTGCCGTACTAAAGCGTTCGATCGATCGCTCCCCTGTACCGAACGAGTTGTTCGGGCTGGGAGCTCCCAGACCGAACGTCCGGTACTTATCGGCGTCCAAAAAATATGGCAAACATCAATCTTCTCTGCTACCCATGGTCCGATCCCTTTTCCTTCGCTCGAGTCTCCGCCTGTCCCGTCGCCAGCCGGTGCCCACTCCGGACATGGCAGCGATGGGTCTGGCGCTGGGGGGCAGGCATGCGGAGCTGGAGCGAAGGCCGGCGGCAAGCGACGGCGGCGCTGGCCTCCCCCCGTCCTCCTCGTCCCAGGCTGAGAGGTGAGCCGGCCAAGCCCTTACTTTCTTTATCCTTTTTTTTTCTTTGCTGAAAGCGACCCAAAATTGTGAGTTTGCCCGCCTGCATCCCAGCAGAATTCATCGCTTTGTCGTACACACTTGCACACTAAATCTGCATTTATTTCTTAGATCTGTGGTGCATGAACGTGGTTATACTGTTAATCGAGGACTAGGTGTTGGGAAGAAAATGAAATGAAGATTTTTCCTTTTCCCCCTGATGCAGTATACACAGGTAGTGCTATTTTTTTTTGAGCATCAGTACAGACACAAACGCTCATATACACGCGCATACACTCATCCCTATGAACGCACACACGCACAACCTACCCCTATGAGCACCTCCGAGAGACTGAGCCGGCATATCATCTTGAGATTTATGAAGCCACCGTAGGCGCCTAGTCGTCGACGGGAACGCAGGGACGAAGCTTGAAAAAAAGGTTGATGGGGTCATATCCATGGCAATGGGGTCATCTTCTATAAATCAACAATGATTAGTATTAAGTTAATGAAGGATTTAGTAATTTCATTGGGGTCAATTGACCCCAATGCCTACATGCCAGCTCCGTCCCTGCGGGAACGTCTCCTCCCACTAAAGACTGAGCCGGCATATCATCTTGAGATTTATGAAGCCACCGTAGGCGCCTCGTCGTCGACGGGAACGTCTCCTCCCACTAAAAGCGCATCGCCGGAAATCCTGAAATAAATCCAGGAATAATGCGAGCACCAGGATTTGAACCCTGGTGGGTTGGTGATACCACTGTCCACCTAACCAATTCAACCACAGGTTGATTCGTAGGTAGTGCTAATTTATTAAGGCCTGTTAAACATTGTATTCTGTGTATATACACGGTGTACGTATAAACCGCGTATATCACGTTGTGTGCGTGCGTGTGTATCACGTTAGGAAGTTGGGGCCGGTAGGATCGATCTCATATGTCGTTGTAGCTATCCTGTAGATTAGAGATCGATCCTAACCTCCTCTAACTCCTGTGCTTGTAATCTCCTATGCCTATATTAACACATACGCGTCCCTGCTACGTCAGCATACGCTTAACCTAATTCTCACCGCATCTAGCCATGTCGAGTTCTTCGTCTTCCGCCGCCATGATTGCACCCTCGATCGCTACTCTTGGCCACACCATCACCGAGAAGCTCACGCGCGAGAACTTTCTCGTGTGGAGGGCGCAAGTCCTGCCGCACATCAAGGCGGCAGGGATGAACGGCTACATCGACGGCTCCATCAAGGAGCCCGCTGCTGAGATCGCCACGGAGAAAGAAGTCTCTGGCAAGAAGGTGGTCACCTTCGTGGCCAACCCCTAGCACGCCATATGGTTCACCCAGGACCAGCAGGTTCTCACTTTTTTGATTGCATCGCTATCCTGAGAGGTCTTGATGCAGGTCAGCACATGCACTACCGCGGCGACGCTCTGGGCTGCGCTCCTGCAGAGTTTCTCGTCGCAATCCAGGGCGAGGGTGATCCAGCTCCGCTCACAGCTCGAGCATACCCGCAAGGGCGACCTTTCTGCGGCGGCCTACTTCACCAAGATGAAGGGCATCGCCGACGAACTTGCAGCCGCCGGCAAGCCGCTTGATGAGGATGATGTGGTTGACCACATCCTGCAAGGTCTTCTTCATGAGCCGGACTACAATGGGTTCGTCTCCGCCATCTCCACGCGCACGGAAACTGAGCAGCCGATCGGCCTCAACCGAGGCTCGCATCGCCGCCCAGACCGCCTCCTACTCCGCGAATCTTGCAGCCAGGGGTGGTGGCCACGGCGGCGGCAACTATAGCTGCCCTGGTGGCGGCAACGGCGGTGGCTCCCGCGGCTTCAACAACAACAGCGCGGGTGGCCAGTGCTACCCCGACAACTCTGGCAACGACGGCTCTGGAGGCGCGCCGCGACAAGGTGGTGGTGATCGCGGTGATCGCGGTGACCGCGAGAAGTGCCAGATCTGCAAGATGGAGGGGCATGGAGCTTGGCGCTGCAGAAAGCGCTATGATCGCGACTACAACAACAACGTCCGCAACCCTGCGGGCGGAGGTGGTGGTGGAGGGAACCGTTCGGCCAATGCTGTTCACTCCTATGGAGTGGACACAAATTGGTACCTCGACACCGGAGCAACCGATCATGTGACAGGGGAGCTGGAGAAGCTTGCTGTTCGGGATCGGTACACTGGCACAGAACAAATCCACACTGCGAGTGGTCAAGGTATGGACATTGCTCACATTGGTCATTCGGTTCTCACTACACCTCATGGCTCTCTCAAACTAAATAACATCATCCATGCACCAGAATCAGATGAAAGTTTACTTTCTGCCTACAAGCTTATTCGTG